AGTCTCTTATTCAGTTTTAGTTCACGAGTTTTTCACTCTATACTAATAACTTCGATCTCTTTAAAATCTCGAATATTGTAAAACGCCGATGCAAATAATACTTTAGTAACTATTATATTTTGCGGAGTGTCTAAATGTCCGCAGCCGGTCACATAACTCAAAATGCTAAATAGCCGGCAGTCCGAAACTTTTCATAAACTCATCCTAGTAGTATTATACAATGGATCCTAATGTATCCTACACGAATAATGGTTTACTATAAAAACATTATGCAGCGAACACTTTCTTTTTATCATGTTATCACACTCTTTAATAACAGAGCTCACATAACTCAAAATATATTATTAAGCTAAATGGCAGGCAGACGAATACTTTGAATAAAAATCAAGGTTATATAAACTAAAATCCAAATCCAATGTCCCTATCTCGATCAAGAACCGTTTCGGACTGCCGGCAATTTAGTGTTTTGAGTTACGTGACCGGCAGTTGATTACCCTACGATCAAAAATATCAAAGTGCCATGAAAAGGAGCTTGAATATAGTATGCTTTTATATCGAGATAGGAATATTAGGTTTGGATTTTAGTTTATATAACGTAACCTTGATTTTTATAAAAATAAATTCGGACTGCTGATCACTTAGCATTATGAGTTATGTGACCGGCTGCGGACATTTCAGACACTTCGTATATTTTATTTTGAGTCTTTTGAGTCTTCGCTCTATATTCGCTCTCTTCAACATACCTCAGACATTATAGAGTAAATCTAAGGTCGTAAACAAACAATACAGTTATTACGTATATATTTTTGAGTTCTTTTAAGTAAAAGGTTTCAATTTGTCTCGAGTATTTTTTACAAAGTTTATATATCTACAGAGATCTACGGACTTCAAGCAATTGGTGACTTTGAACGGCAATATGTAAAGTATAACGAAACCAAAAAACACAAATAAATTTACACTACCTCCCTGACGGGCTTATCTGTTCAGGTCGGTTCTGCCACACAGATATTTGAAGCCATTTTTCATGTATTCTATCGAGTGTTTTGATTGGCCATTTTATTTCGTCTACGTCATAGGTCAGTTCTGCCATGGAGGTCCGTTTCACCACGGCACACACGTCACGAGTCGGTACGACGGAACGAATCCGTCGGAACACGAAGGTGACGTCATTTTCGGGATGTCGTTTTGAGTCTCGCGAAATAGCCTCTGCCGTTCCTCTGCCGTAAAAAGTAAACACCTTCGAGTTCCAAGTCTCTGAACAGTTCTTCGATGACAAACCAAAAAAAAAACAAAATAACTTTTAAAATACACACTTAAATACCTATAACCAAAGCTCGATCAATATTATTCCATAGAAGGTGAGTTGAACTAAGTAAGTTGAAACATTCTTTCATAATTTTGTAAAAGTAAAGCTTCAATTTTAAATTAAAGATTGCATAATAAACTAAGAACATTGCGGTGTCGACTGCGGTGTCAGTATTACCACTAAATTTACGATTTGTGTCCACATTCATACTAAGCTAATTCTTTTTCTTATGTTAATGAAGATGAAAAAATTACACGATGTGATAAAATCGATGTCAAAGTAGCTCATGCAATTTGGTATACAAAACAAAATAATTTCAATCTTATCGGATTTATCGGCATATCCTGGTCTCCTTAAGAGTATATCTTAGAGGGGTTAAAAATTACATCTGCAAATGGTAAGACCTTGTTAATGGCGGTCCCATCCCTAATTAAATAGAGACTTTAATAAAAGAGTTTATCAGTTGAATTTATACTGTCAAGTGTTATCCTCTATAAGAAAGTTATTTTTTAAGGGTGTTGCTAAACCCCGAAACACCGAAACACCGAAACACCGAAACAGTACCAAAACGAAACACCAGTGTACAAATACTTTTCAATATAATAGTTAAAAGTAGTAGATCAATGAATCTTTTGATTTTGAGAGCAACTGACATCATTTAAGACCAGTTTACAATGTTTTAAGAATCGTATATCTGGAAAGTTTTATGCCATCACTCTGTACTGTCATAATCCGATAATTGGGATTAAAACGTGACTGATACCTAAATAGAGCAACGTGACAGAGTGACCGTGACCTATTCCATAGATTAATTACTTWAAAAAAACTAAACTGATGAGGGTCCTCGCTGTAAGAAAAATGAGCAGTTAATTTTGTTCTTGGGCTAACACAACATCATCAGATGGACCCAAGAAACATGTAAATAAGTTCTTACGCGCCGAACATGGAAGCATGATATAGTTTACAAAGCATACAAAATAGTTTATTGATGTACCTTTGAGTTGGTACCAAAAGTTGATGCCAAACATTCGTCCTCACTGAGGGTATTGTCGTGATCATTGTCCTGTGAGAATATATATGATCTTACTTGTATGCAATTAACATATAACCATAATACCATTTGCCTTCAAAATACTGTAAAAAGGATGCGAGATCGAGATATTGTCAGATATTTGCTTACCTTTAATGACCTGGCAATTGCAATTGCCAGGGCATCATCTTCGGTGCTCTGCTGGAACGCAGAGTAGTCGACTTTAGCTGTACGTACAGTAGCTCATAGTTATAATACACTAAATTATATGCTTTAAACTTTATAAAGATGCAATAAATACGGCCGGCACAGTAGAAACGAAAAGTATGAACACGCTATAAGAAGTAGTGAATAGCGGTATCCAATAGCTTGATATCCACGGGTGGTTTGACAATTTCGGACGTCCCATCCCTCCCCGTGTTTTCGTCTTTGGATTGATCGAGCGACCGCCAACAGAGTAACTTGTGCATCATATCCTTTACCACCAGCAATATAAAGCCAGGCTCCCGTATGGCCGCCCGCAATGTGTGCAAGGTGATGACATAAAACTTTCCAGATATACGATTCTTAAAACATTGTAAACTGGTCTTAAATGATGTCAGTTGCTCTCAAAATCAAAAGATTCATTGATCTACTACTTTTAACTATTATATTGAAAAGTATTTGTACACTGGTGTTTCGTTTTGGTACTGTTTCGGTGTTTCGGTGTTTCGGGGTTTAGCAACACCCATTTTTTAAACACTTACGGTAGCTTTTAGGGTATTCATGAAGTGCTTGCTCAATATTTTTGAGGATATTTACAAGCCCCCCATCAATTATTTAATTTGCTGTCCCTACATCGATTGGTAATTGATGTTAATCGATTGATGATTGATCATATTAACAATATTCCATATTGATAGACCTAATACATGATGACATTTTATACCTACACTTCAAGAATTCTTTTTGGTAGCTTTTATTTTTATGTTAATGTACTCTATTGTCTTGGTAATCCAAGGAGTTTTAACATTTGAATATRAAAAGTTATTTCAAAAAGGGTTGTGGTAGTTTGGGTATGAAACATCATTCAATTAAATATTGATTTTTCAATCAATAAATGAATGTCAACTAATTAATATCGATGGACCGGAATTAATTGAAAATCACATTGCACATAATTGTATTGATTGTTCTTCTATTAATTATTGATAAGGTCATAAAGTAAATGGGGCATGGGATAAAAAACAGGGGGTGGGTCACACAATTTTGATTTTTTCAAATAAGTTGGGCTGTCTATTAACTGTATAGTATGGGAGGGTCATTTTCCATTTTCTGCATGGAAACTTATGGCACAATCATTTTTCGACCTCATTTTACAATGAGTCAGCAAAAAAAGAGCTCCTTCAAATCCAGCTTTACCACCCTCCCTCTTTACTTTGACCAATTCTTAAATTATTATTTATTGATATCAATCAATAAATTTGATGTTATTAAATTTAGATTTAATTAATTTGGCATCAACTTAAACTTTTAATAGGGAAAAATGCAAGACATCTTTGCCGTTCTCTCGCTACCAGTAATCCTTCTTTTTGCACTGCTTGGGTTTATTGCTTTGGTTTACCTCTATGGTGTGTCTGGTTATTGGATTATGAAGAAAATGAAAGTGCCAGGTGCCAAACCACTACCATATGTCGGCAACCTACGAGATCTGGCCAAAGCTGGTGGTGTCCATCTTGGAATTTTGAAGTACTATAAAAAATATGGCAAGATATTTAGTATATGTTTTGGTCGACAAACATCTATTGTCATTGCTGACCCAGAGATGATTAAGCAAATCATGGTGAAAGATTTCCACAACTTTACTGACCGGTATAATGAATTTCCACCTGCTAAACGTCAAAAGGGAATGTTTAATGCAAAGTATGAAGATTGGAAAAGAATTCGCTCAACTTTGACACCAGTGTTTACATCTGGTAAACTGAAAATGATGGTGCCTCTGATAGAGAATTCATGTAACACCCTTGTTGATAAAATCAAAGATGTTGCAGATACAGGTAAGGGAAATTCCTAGTTATTATGTCAGGGCTTTATGTTAGGGTTAATTACTAACATTATATTTCCCTGTAAAGAATGTCAAGGGAAAAATTGTCCGATTAATCGCTTGAGCAGAAAAAGCATAAGTGTACTTAGTTTCTCATCATGCTTTGTACTAGAGATTTGTGCTTGTGCACATTGGCTATTCTCTATCATAGTCCCCTTGTAGTAGTCAGAATGCAGCTCAATTTGGAATTCTACTTTTATCAATCTGAAAAATTTGATCCTAAACTCCTTTTTCCAATTAATCAAATATCTTGTAATGTCACTTTAGTGTGATATAGGTCTATTCTCAGACCTTAGTTAGTCAATTAAATGACATCATAGTAGCACTATTAAGCCCCAGGCCTCAACTGACCTCTTAACCAGCCAATGTATACAAACTGAGGGAAAGCATAAATACTTTATTGCCGACAATAATTCCATTAATGCATTGTTCTCTCTCCTTTTTGAGTAGCGAGCATAGTTCAGTTAGCTAGTATGCAGCTTTCTGATCTACAGTTTGATCCTCAGGATCTCCATGTCTCTTTTGCCTTCTGTGTAGCTTTAGCTTTAAATACAGTACACGTAGCTGCAATAAGAAGCACTAATAGTCTGAGGGGGTAAAGGGTGCATCTTCAAGCACTTTATTCATGAGCCCCAGGATCAGGAGAATAATGCAACCATTCCGGTTGTAGTATTTGGAGCCCTATACAGGGAGTGATGGTTGAAAGATACATATTATATTTATTTTATTAGGAAATAGTGTGGACATGTTCTCCTGGTTTGGCCAGATGACTCTAGAGGTGATTCTGTCCACGGCTTTTGGGATTCAATCTCCCATCCAGTCCAACCCAGACAATGAATTTATAGCCAGATCCCGTGAGGCATTCAAAGCTCCACTCTTTCTCAGGGTTATACAGATGTTGCCATTCAAAAATATTATGATCAAAATATTTCGCCTGATGACAGGAAATTTAAGCTACTTTAGAACAGTTGCCGAGGAAATATTGAGATCCAGAAAAGCACAAGACATACAGGGAACAAGAGATCTGGTGGATATAATGTTGTCAGCAAAAAACCTTGATGGAAGTAGAAGGCTTGATGACGATGAAATAGCTTCTCAGTCAGTAGTGTTTCTCCTTGCTGGACACGAGACATCAAGCAATACTCTTTCCATGACAGCGTACTATCTGGCGCTGAACCCAGAAATCCAGGAGCGCTTACGATATGAGATTCTTATTGCTCAGCAAACCAACCCTGGCAAAGCTGTCTATGACTTGATTCCTGACTTGGAATACCTTGAATGTGTCATCAATGAAGTACAACGCCTCAGTCCTCCAGCCCACATGGTTAACAGAAAATGCAGTAATGAGTATACCATTAATGGCATAACCATCCCTGCAGGAATGCAAGTAGTATTTCCCATATACAGTCTTCACCATGACCCAGAAGCCTGGCCTGAACCTGAAAAGTTTGACCCTGAGCGATTCCGTGGCCCTGCCAAGGCATCCAGACACCCATTCCAGTTCTTGCCATTTGGTGAAGGGCCTCGAAACTGTATCGGTAAGCGATTTGCTCTGCTGGAAGTCAAGATCACCTTGGTAAACATCTTGACAAAGTACAGGTTTGTGCGCTGTCCTGAGACACAGGTTCCACTCAAGATGATACCAGGTATCACACTGATTCCAAAAGATGGTGTCTTCTTGAGGACTGAGTCCTGTACTAACACTTAATCTGTACAGACAGTACCCTAATATACACGTGTTAGATTGCAAAGTCTGATTTAATTAATGGCTATATCTAGGTTATCTTTTCAAAATATTTTTCAAAAAAAATGTCTCCACTGCCAATACCAATTTTGTAATATTTTTCCACTTTTATGCATTAACAAGAATTTTTTGCTGCCAAATATAATTAAATTGAAAAAATCTGATTCTAGTTAATGAATCTAATTGCTAAGCTTTATATTAATACTTAATTATGATATATTACACTATGTCTGAGAAATAAGTGCATTATTTAAACACAGCTTTCAATCTGTTATTGACTAAATGTAGCACATATTAACCTTTTTTAATTTTGTCAGTCATAATCACATAAAGATGAAAGATTATTCTCCTGGATGTTTGAGAAATAGTATAACAATATTCATGTCCGCTTTGCATATCTTTATTTGCTTTAACTCTTATTATAAATGCTCAGCCATAAAGTACACACCATCCACTAATGTTTGTACTGTACTGTAGGAACTAATGACAGCCGCAACAACTTACTACTTACTGTAATTAAGTTAGTACTTGAGGCAATGTATGTTATATATTTTATATACACGTATGGTATGTGTTTATTTGATTTGCTGTATCTGTATAGCAAAAATTTTGTTTGAATAAAGAATTTCCAAACTTTATATAGCAACTGGTWATGTTTTTACATCAGATCTTTATGAACATGACTTTTTCTCTTATTTTTTCTTGTGATATCTAAAATTACTCRTTATCTACCCTTCCTACTCCAGGACTTAAAATAACGGTTGCAGTTTGTTTGAATAAAGAATTTCCAAACTTTATATAACAACTGGTTTTATGTTTTTACATCAGATCTTTATGAACATGACTTTTTCTCTTATTTTTTCTTGTGATATCTAAAATTACTCGTTATCTACCCTCCCTACTCCAGGGCTTAAAATAACAGTTGTCATTGAACACTATGACCATTGAGAATTGGAACTTTTGCAGTCAAAACTTTGCCTTGATCGACAGTCATTTTGACTTAGTAGTATTATTGAGCCAGAAACAAGGTAACGATGACAAAGCTAAAAATAATACATGACTTCTATAACATAACTACATTTACTCTTGAAAGCTTTTCTAAGAAACAAAGTTTGCTCATTAAGGAGGTACAGATATGACTATGAGCTTAGGTTTTTGCTGCTTTCGAAAACCTACTCCATCCTACTCTGGTTAAAGTTTATTTCAAGTGAAGACCATTTTGTTCAAGAGGTTTTTCTGCAAAGAAACATATTTAGCAATTACTTTCAAGTTGAAAACTACCTATTAAATTTAATTTACTTACAGCATGACATGCCGTAGCGGGGCCACCCAACAAAAATTCAATAAGTAATATATACAGTATGAGTGGCGGTGTTGTATCCAATATACAAACTCGAGGCATACTCGAGACGTAGCTGAGAGTTTGTATATTGGATACAACACAAACACGAATACTGTAGATTACTTATCAAACGTCTAGGCTAGTTCCTTTGTGTTTCGCTAACATTTTCAAGATAAAAATCCATCTTAAAGTTTATGCAAATGAACAGGATTCTGTATCTGATTTACAAAACTCTTCACGGTCATGATTTCTGTTGTGTTTTCCTCATGAATTATTAATGAGTTTAATAATTGTTTTTACCAATGCTGATGAATCCAGTATTAGCCAGCAAAGGGACCAAAATAGGTATCAGCTAGGGAAATTCCTTGCAATTTATTTGTTTTGGTTTTTTGCAAAGAATACGAAATAATTTTAAATATTTGCAGTCATGCTTAGTGAGTTCATGTGCAAATGCACAATCTTTGCTGTCTGATTGGCTAACTAGCAAAAAAAGATAAGTACTATGTGGCCATTAGTACGGTGCATCACACTGTAATACTTACTTTTCGAAATGTATCTGCCATTTTGAAGGTCAATCCATTGACCAGAGCTAGGTCTTGTACCTGTGAAGAAGTGTGACATGTTTTAATATCATTTGTCATGAAATCATAGGGTGGTGTAGCAGTACATCTATTGACTCTCAAGTTGGTTTCTTGGCCTCATTATCACCTTAATTATTTAATTAGAGTTTGCCAGGGCCTAAAGTTTTAGGTTGCTTTGCAGTCCTTGCATTTTCATGTTTCTGCCACCTTTTTCAGAATCATCAAGTGGTTCGAATCGAAAACAAAAAACAAAACAAAAAACATGGAAAATGCTGTTTATTGTTAGCTCTTGTTATTACCTTTGTAAAAGAGCCATGTTGTGATCTCCAGTCTAGAATCATCCCTGCACGTTTTTTCCCAATGCCCTCTAACTGAATCAGGTCTTTTACATCTCCATTATTAAGGACTGATAACAATTCTGAATCTAAAGAAGAAATTGCTGTTAAATTAATGTAAGAAATAAATGTAGAAAAATTAATGTAAAAAAAGTCAAAATGTGAATGGTCAGCTTTGCTTTGGCTTAGGGCGAGGTGTTGTCTTCTCATCAATTGAAGGCTTTGGTGCAAAAGGGCGCATGGTTTGAGCTCTTTGTACTAGTAACAATGTGAGTTGAGTTTGTTTGATGTGTTGGTCTATGCTATGAGGGTTTTGCCACCCAGTTCCTCCCTCAACAATAAATCTAAATTCTAATTTGATCTCAGAATCAAGGGCTGATCTTTGTAGTTACAGCAAATTTTGTTTGATCATTCATACCGCATCACGATTTTTTAATGTTACTGGTTTGTGATTCCTTTTGTTAGTGATCATGAAGGGACACCCACACGGTACGAAAGTGCCATGATTTGTAGCAAAGTGATGGTAGCAAATGTGAATGGTAGCAAAAGTGTCGGATACTACTATATTGCTAGTCTATCATTCTGTTTACTCTGACTGTTAACCAAAAAAAGACATCATGGTTTTTTAGAGCTAACAGTCCAAGAATACATTCCTACAACAGACTAGTGATATAAGGTTGCCTGTGGCACTTTTCAAGAAAAATACCCTGCACTATAACCAAGGTGTTCTCCATTTTGATGACAACACTATTAAATCTAAAAAATGAAGGAATAATAATTGGCTCCAGCTCACCATTCTAAATGCCCACAGGTAGCACCTACTCATATCATATTTTACACATTTAGAGGGTTATAAGTAGGACTAAATAATGGTTATTGTTATTTCCCTCTTGAAATAAAGTTATTGTACAAACTGTATTTATGTTTTACCATATGCTTCTTGTAGAGCAGGGTTGATATTTACTGTAAAATTTTCTTCTACCAGTAATGAACTGATTTCATTTGATGCGTTTTGAACCTATTAAGTAAAAAAACCCGGCAAACTATCAGTGGAATCCTGCCTAGAAGCTACTCTATGGGTTGAGAACTTCGAACTGAGGGGAACTAAAAAGGAACAGCAAAGAAAGAAAGTCCTCTTGGGATCCATCCCACTTCCCCTAAAGCTGTTACTGGTATACAAGCTGTTTGAAAGATAAAATTAAAACATATAACAAACTAAATAAATAGATAATCATAACAATGGTTTAAATGAATCTTTAAATGACATTATACTATTATGTAGAAGAATTCCAGCTATAATATACTGTGCAAAGCATGCATACAAGTTATTTAGGTAATCATTTCTGCCCTGACATGGTATCTTATTTAATTATTGTAAAAATTATTTACAAAATTATTTACTGCCTTGCCATGCTGTAATTTTCAAAAGTAATAGTTCAAAAATGGCATCTATATAGTTTACCCTTTGTGATAATGGTACTTTCTTTTTTTTCGAAGTCTTCAGAGATTTTGAGCCATCATTTGATTTGAGAATACTTTGTTGACTAGTAGAGCTTAGGATACTGAYATCTTTGAATGGACTGTGCCTTGCTGTCTCCGAACCTTCAGGAAATTCTACATTCAGTTGTAAAATATTTTTTTAAAGGAAATTAATTAATAATTAGCAATTTATTAGATTAGGGTAATCTAGCACCATAAAAACATTGCTAGGTATGAAATTATAATTATAATTTACGGTCATGACGCCCCCAGCCTGTACTACCATGATGCCCCTAGTCTCTATTAACTCTTATTTAATAAGAAGTTTAACGATATTTCATAGTATAAATCCAAGGACGACAAAAAATAACAAAAAGGAAAAAAGTTGACGACAAAATTTCGTAAGTCCGATAAAATATATGTAATTCCAGTTAGTATGCCGTAGTTGCTGTAAGAACGCTTATGCATAAGTTCTGAAACCAAAAAGTTTGACACTGAAAATATACCACAAAAGAAAGAGAGTGCTGGTGAATAAAGTAAGAAAAACATTGCAAAAGAATCAAAACCTTTGACACGACCATTATCTATGCACGAACGAACGAGTTGTTTTCGAACAAACGAGTTGTTTTCAGCAGTTGTAGTTCGCAGACTTGTAACCTAATAGTTCTTTGGCGTAGGAAGTTTTTGACTTATTCGTATTTTTGAAACGTGTGTTTTTGCTAAATATTTTGGTAAATAAATGTGATATGCTGCGTGTCAAGTGGGATCAAAATTCAATTCCAAGAGACAAAGGGAGTTGAGGGGTCTAATATCAATCTTACCTTTCATCATAATATGTGTCAATATGCAATAATACTGATAGTCCCCTATTTCATGCTATGGCTTTATTCTGATTGGGTGTGTTCAGGAAGGAAGTGGTGAGTGGCAGGGGTAAAAGAAAGGAAGAAAGATAATTGCTATTACTTTGAATGAAATGTTCAGTTTTCACCAGTAGTCTTCTTTCTAGTGCTTCCATTCTTTCTTCAAGAATATCTTGCTTGATTCTAAAGGGACTGGAGACGAATCACAGGAAAAAAAGGAAATGACTGGAAATTCTCAGCTTGAATATATAAATGTAATGTTTGCTGTGTGTGGAGGGGATGCACAAAGGATGGTTTCCTAGGGAATTTGGCACTGAGAATGCATGAACCTACCTTAATACACCTGAGGGGATTGCTGTGCTGTTGTATGTACTGGAGCTTGATGAATGATCCTAGGATACATGTATATATTATGCATTAATTACATGTAGTACATGTATACAGACATCTACGGCTGTAGACAATATAAATACTTTATTTAGCATTACAGAATTTTTTTAAATTGAATGTAATATTTGTAATGAACACTGGATGAGAGCCAGTGGATGTTTGAAATTTTTGACCACATGGAAAATATACCACTCAAGGCGAATTTGCTTCCTAGAGCTCTATGCTCGGTTTTTCATCAGGTTCTTAGATTTTTTATATGTAATATTTATTACTTATTGTTGAGTAATATATTTACCTTTGTTCTTACACTTTTGGCAGGTCTCTGTAGAATAAAATATATCAATAAGTTATCAACAGATTGAAACTGTCAGGGTTGAAACGAGTAACAGCCATACGTTTCTCTAGTACAGCATTAATGCGCATTTGCAATTATGGGCATTTGATCATATTCACATGTTAAAGAAGTAGAGAGAATAAGAGAAAAATATCAAATGCCCTTGGCAGGATTCGAACCCACGTCTTCGGTATTCTAGTCCGATGTGTTACTACTATACTATGTCTATTCTTTGCGTACATATTTACGGTGTTCAACTTATCTATAGAGAAAATATCGCTCTGGGATCCTCACGAATACCCTACATTTCATATTCTGGCTGCGTTACCAGCGTGGTTGGTCCTTGTAGTGTAGTGGTTAACACATCGGACTAGAATACCGAAGACATGGGTTCGAATCCTGCCAAGGGCATTTGATATTTTTCTCTTATTCTCTCTACTTCATTATATACACACCGAACGCATAATTTATTACTACTTCACATGTTAAAGTTGCGCTTTATAGATGTTAAATATTATTATTAATAATCCTCATGAATATTCAACTTTTTTCCAATCAAATTTCTTTCCAGTTAATCACTTCATCTCGCTTCAAAAATTACCAAACTTATTACCAAATTAAAGACAGATACCTAAAATTTTTGATTTAAAGATTCAGTAAATGTTCTCTGAAAGTCAGGAAAAAAATAATTAAGTGTAAAACTCCTAATTTGCATATTATATGAATTCTCCAGAGCATGGCTGTAGTCATGTTACACATTTCAACCCCTTTTTGAGTTTCTGTTTTCGATAACTTTATCTACATGTAGTAAAATTGATATTTAACAAGCAAATTGGATCGAAATTAATGATTTCAAACAACTTGTTATGTACAGTAATACCTTAATGCTTTTTCTTACCTCACCATCCTCTGGACACATTTTCTGATGAGGTCTTTTAAAGGCTGCACTCTTGTCTGAAATACATTTTGAAATTCTTTCTTTTTAGAATGCAAATTGAAACGTCGTGAGGTATGATACCTCTACGGATTATAACAGCAAGTTGCATGGCACCCACATTTTACCCATACATGTATCTACTGTATTTGCTCTATTTTATATAAGAAAAACCACCATTCAGAAAACTTTATTTATTTAATCTTCTGACACAAAGGCAATGCCCTAAAGGTGTCCCATTATAAAGCAATGGCACCACTTACTGACATTTATGCATGCATGTTGACCTTTCATCATCGTGAAACAGGCCAATTAATGCTATTAAACCAACTGAGCCAACCTGCAGGACATTGGTATGAACCGTTCTAAAATGTACATTGTGAATTAATTAATCTGAAGGCTACTTACCATAAGATTCCCTGATGAATGGCTTATTGACAATAGTTCTTGATTTGGTAGCAAAGTTTAGGGTGTTAAGTGTGTCCGAGTATAAAATTGGTTCAGGAGCAAGATTGGCTATAACACAAGTATGTGCAGAACCACCAAGAGAATCCTATAAAAAAAGGAAGACAAATGAGAGATTGTCAGCTTCACTTGGACTGATTGCATAATTAACATTCTGAGTATCGTTATTCTTTCAAATTTAAATTTCCACATAACGTTTTACCTGAAGAAGTCGAGTAAGCTTGCTGTTTCGGTAGGGTATTCTTGGCTGCAAAGTTCAAAGAAACTGAATTGGTCACTGAATAGGAAAATTAATTGAACACTCAAACATGCATCCATGTCAGCATATTTCCATTTGGTAACTGATATTGGCGGATTGAATCCTAATGTACATTTTATGATTTAAGTAGATTACAGAGCACACAGTAGTAATGAATGTGTCCCCAAAATCAATTTCTTGCTTGCTTGTGTAGTCCCTAAGCTTGCTTCTCTTGTGCTCTACAGCTTCCAGTGTGTTTATATCACAGTACAGAGACAAGCGCAAGTTTTATGTTCCTTAACAAATAGACACCTTTCTGTTCAAACCTGTGCATTATTGAGGGCATCTACAACTTGTCCTAAAGCAAATAATGATCCATTGATTGCTCCACTTTCCTTTAGTCTGGCAATTGAAATTATTTATCCTAATTTAGTATTAATATTCGACTAACAACAATATTATGACCAATCTTGTAAATATAATTTGGATAGTGAAATTGGAAATATAATATTATAATAATTGGAAAAATTATAATATTTCCTGCTTTTATATTCATGACATAAGACGTGGCAGAAGAAAAAAATAGGATCAGAAAAATTCCTGATTACAATGTAAATTAGTAAATAAATCTTCATTTTCCTTTTCCCCATTTCATACGTATTTTCTGTATAATTTTTGTCATTTTTGAATTCCTTCACTGACATACATTTTATTTAATTTGAAAGCCAGTTTTGTTAGATAACGTTATTATAGGTCAATCCCCCATTGTATTCATTTGGTATTTAGATGGCTATAATAAATGTATGTCATACCTTACACCTTCATTGCCTGTTCTTCTGTTGTCTTCAGAACCAGCCAAGTCAATTAGATACATTTTTCCAGTTAACCTCCTAAATGGTGGTATGGTTTGCTCCCTCTGAACCTTATTAAGTAAATAATACATTAACATATACAAAACCCGAAAAAGTACCAAACCTGTTGACCTTGCGTTGGCTGAACATCGGTCAACACATGGCGGATAGTTGGCCAACACTCGGTCAACACATGGACGATAGTCGGGTGACTGTCAATTTCATTAATAGTTGGGCGATAGTCAACCGACAGGTGTAGGCTGGTCATGAAGTACACTATTACCTACTCATAGTTTAAGAAAAACCTTCAAATCCAGGAAGATATGATGCAGAGTATAGAAAATATACCAAAAACCCCAGAGGGGTGATCAGGAGAATGCATTACGTGTACCATAACGTATCTTTTTTTGTACCTGAGTCTTTATTCATTTACCAACCTTTATCAATAGAATAGAGTGACTTCTACTTGAGTGAGGATTTAGTTTTGTCGAAGCAGTTTTTCTTTAAGAAAACAAAAATTAAGAAACCTTTAATTAATAGTCTTTTTTTAAAAAATTCATTTGCATTTCATTCCACTAATATTAATTATGCTTGGGATGCAAGCACATGACTCAAAATTCATAAGATACTGTAAAATTCATTGGCTGACAAGTGCATCAACCTCCTAATTAGCATTAACTTAAAACTTGAATATCTCTTGAATCGAGAATGCTAACAAGAAATTAAAAAAGCCAGATTTCTTCTTAAAATGCACCCCAAGAATTAAACACTGTTCTCAGTATAGTCTGGTGTACATCCAGCCTATTTATTTTTGGGGCTTAAAACTTGCTTTCCAACAACCCAACAGTGTTAATAATAATAAAATTATTAATTTTCAAAATGTATTTTTTGGATCTTTTTCAAATATAAATGTACTTAATGACTGCATTATATTATGGAATCTCTGTGACAAATTACTATTTCAAAAAAGGTTGCATTTAGTGCTTGAAATAAGCAAACTAGCAAAGTTCCAGTGCCAGTGCTTGTCTTGAGTTTGCTTGTTGAAAAAAAAAATACTCAGCAAACATTTGCTACTAAATATTTCCCGGATCTGACCAATTTTTTTCATTCAGAAACAGACTGACATTCAAATGTTTGCTAGTGGATAAAAAGGTTGAATTCAACCCCTTGGTTGTCAGAGACAAATGCGACTATCAGTTAGCAATAAAAGATAAGTCATTAAAAGATCTAGTAGTACTAGATGGAATGACTTATGTTTTGGCTCTTCATTCTCATCACAAACATGGAACTTGATGTTGAAATGTTCAATGTTGTTTTTAGTCATGATCAATAAAACAATTTTAAAGGCCTCATTTGATTTAAATCAATAGAGGCCTTTAAAATTGTTTTATCAATTGTGTTATAACCATCCCTTTCTAATCACCTAGTAATAATGTCTCCCACAACCTTTTTTGAAATAGTTGTACTGTACACAGCCTTGCCATACAGTAGCTGCTGTGAAGTTGGTTTGAAATATATTTCCATCTATTTCATTTACATGTACATTTTAGAATACATTCATATTTTTAATCACCTATTTTGAGCAGCAACTTGAAATTTTTCATCAAATTCTTTGTAGCTTGTGATTACATTCTAGGATAACAGTCACAGACAAAAATTAGTTAAGTTTTCAGATTGTTACTCTAGCCTGCTATTGTTGCCCAGGATATAATTAGCCATTTGCACTAGTACATTACAGTACAGGTATGTCAAATGACTCAACCATCTTGAACATATTCAACACATTCAATCTAAAAATATCATAACAATTTAACCAAAAATTAGGGAGTATGGTCACATGACCTCTCAATGCAAATGCCATTTTTAGCATAAGGAAAATCCTTTGCATACTGTGCAGAAGAGAGGCATCTTCCACTTCTCCTCTGATAACTTAGTGACTCTCCGTTGTTAACTTTTTCTTTTATTTCGCTCCCTCTCTTTTGGCTCAAGCTATTAAAAGCTTTGCATTTTATGCAAAACAAGTTCACTCACGAGAGTGAAAGTTTGAATATTAATCATCATTGCATGTAGTAAGCTGTTTGTATTAATCAAAATTGCGTCAATAAACAGTGGCTTATATTGAAAATGATGCCAACTGTGGAGTCCTAGGCAGGGTGAATTTTTTTTTCTGCTTTGAAAAAGCAGAGTTTGTTTTGAAAGGTAACTTATCTTAATCAAAACGCCAGCCAAACCTTGGGACTTAGCTTTCATTCTCACCAGTCCATTACCCAAAATGCACACAGAATATAGTTATTATATAATATTTACTTGGTTGGATCAGAATTTCTGCTTATGGCTGTATATAATATATAGTTACTTAATATGCATAATTTAACTTACCTCTGTTAAGGTGGGAATAAATATGTTGCCATTATTATCCTGTCTTATTGGAAGATCTTGCTTCTTTGTGTCAAGTAAATCATTAACCTTGGTYGAGAAGAAAGAATTCAAATGAAATAGTAACATTGACCTATTCAGCTTATGACATGTGTAGTGTTTTCCTATTCCAGTCAATGCAAGTCATCATGCCATTAAATAATTATTCTTTATTTGAGTGGCATTCATTGTTCTTAAGCATTTCTGTTAAACAAAGAAAAGCACTCATAGAAATGAAACATGGTCATAAATGGAAAAGCAGAATTGTTATGTCATTGTCACCATCAGTGAAAAAGTGGGATCTCGATAGGCATTTTGTCCATTTATGGAGTGCTAAAGGGTAAGTTTAAATCAGCATTATCGTGAAGAGTTGAAAGTAAAGGGATTTTAGTACCAAAAGTTCATACACTGATGAGAAATTCTTGCATGATAATCCTGTAAGCTCATAAATAGACTAACAGCAGTACCTATTTTGACATTTTTTCAAATGGCTTTGGAGAATGCTAACATTTTTGGCAGAAGGACAAATGGCTTGAAAAATATATRAACATGAGGTAAGCCATGATACTTGCCAATTTTTTCTGGAATTTTCCATGATGCATTGTGATACAGATTTTAAAATTAAGAAGTGACAAAATATCTCCAAGAAAACAGCCATTGCTTGCCATGTAAAAAGAATTGATGCCAAAGAAACCACAGCAGCTGCTGTAAAAATCAAGGACTAGGTCCATTTAATTTACTCACTTGTGTGAGGGTATTTTTGAGTATTGAAAGAAAACCAATCTGATGAAAATAAAGGATTGACATTTTTCTCCAGGTTTTGTTATTTAAAAAGGTTTTGTTTTGTATCAAATTACTGCAATTTTCAGTAGTCAGCCAGTCAAAATAGTGAAAGGTAACAACTGATTATGTTTAATTGATGGCAGTGAAAAATCGGATTTCAGCGTGCAGCTTGCAGACACAGAGTTTGCATGTTTATGAAAATTGCAGTAATTAAAGTAGCTGAAAGGGCAGTGCAGTGCTAAGGATGAAAAAGCTACTCATGTACACACACTGCCAGCCCCTCTCTCTTCCGTCATTTATTTTGTCTTTGTTTCCCCCTTCAAAATTCCAAAAAAGAAAAAGATTACTGGCCATGGTGATCAGGCCATTCCTGACAAACATTCAATGCAATCTATATTTATAAATATTTTATACCTTTTCTTGGTAAATCTCTAGATAAGAGAATTGTGTTTCAAATGTCCATTCTGTTGACTTCTGTTTTTCTGCATCAATTGCGATGAAAACATCTGATAAACACTGAGGAATTACTCCTAAAGTTGAAAAAATAAAATTATACAACACAACATTTTATTATTTTCTTGTGAATGATAAAATTTATGAAATAATAATACAGTATATTGCTACCCGCAGGAGCAATTCAGATAAGTTAAAATTTTACAAAAATACAGTTTTCAATCCAGATAAGAAAGATAAATAGCTAAGAAGAAGAAGAGAAAAATACTAATGATGAAAAGTGGCAAATGTTTAAATTAATCTAGATATAAATTAGGTATGAAATTAAATATTTTACTAAACAAAGGCTCTTCTCTAGTGTATTGGAAGACAGTTGGTTATAAACAAGTTAATTAATGTTCAAATGCTGAAAGAGTTCAAGAATTTGCGAAAAAATCAATATACTACTTTTGTGTCATCTTATACCTCTATCTAAAACATTTAAATTACAAAATACCTGGTTGCTGATGTGTACCAAGCATTGTATGTGTTTTTCCTGCAAAAAACATTACAAAAAATTGAAGTTTCAGGAAAGTGATTTTTTTTATTCATGTCATTGGCAATAATTTATAAGGAGCAGGCATAGTCCATGCCATTTGGTTAGTGTGCAGCCTTTGGAGCCAGAGATCCACCCTGAGGATGATTCTCAGGATCTCCACATCTGTTTTGACCTCTCTAATCCTTTTAGATTATAGCTTTGAGTCCATTTATATGGAGGAAAGTTGTCCTGGGTAGAAGGGATACCCTCTTTGCTAAGCAACCCTGGGCAAGCCAATTTTTCACTGATTCCTTTGTAAATTCATGTTGCGTCAGCCATTGACATGAGACATTTTCCTTTTCTCGGCTAGAAGAGACACCCTACTGGTGAGAAATGCTCTTTGCAAAAGGTGAACCTCTGGTACCTGGGACTACTTTTCTCTGTGTAAACAATTCAAATCACCCAACCGAGACAAATACTGAGACAACTCTTTTCGTTGAGCATGTGCATCTGTATAATTAATAGTACCCAGGTCATCCCTCTGAAGGAAGATGACAGACCAAGAGGTCCAAATATTTTTTTCATATGAATGCTTGGTATGTTTGGCTCAGCCAGGAGGGTGTCCCTCTGTCTCTTAATAAAGCACTAATGGAGTTGGGGGAGGGGAAGGAAAACTCACATTAAATATGGCACCTTTATTCCTCCCTTTCATCCTTATACAAAGCAGGCCCTCATGCATCCACATATCCATTCACCAAAATCCATCCATCCATCCCTCCCACAGTTCATTCCCACAAATTCAGACCGCCATTGTTATTTGCATTTATTCATTATTTCTTTCTTTCAGCCAGTTTTAGCCACGTTTTCTCGTCTATTTAACTTTTCTTACCAGCTCCTGTTGGTCCATAAGCAAACACACTTGCGTTTTCTCCTTGAAGGACGTACTGCAGAACTGGTTTGATTGAGAAGTGGTAAATCTCTTTCTGCGAACTGTATTCTCCGAAAAAGCCGTCAAACCTTAAAGAAATGTATGAAGTTAGTTAATTGAGCAGGAAAGAATAAGCTTGGTACTTTGTTCACAAAGATGAAAAACTATTTGCAATCTAAAATACTAACTGATATTGCAGAACATTTCCATTCCTCCAATTCCAGACTTCGAGAGTCTTTGAGTCAATCGGGCGAACACACTTCGAAGGCGCGTCCTTGTAGTTTGGAAGAGAACTTGTGTACTCCGATCTTTCTGGTCTCAAACGAGCGATCACTCGAACTTTGCTCTTTTTAGGCTTCTGAGGAGCCATTTTGATGGAAATTGAAAGATCTAAACCCCCGAAAAAACAAAGATTCGAGGTTAAATATAAAAATATTCCAAAACGTCTTGCGAGACAACTCAATATAATGAAATTTTACCTTTCGATCCAACAACTTTGAAAACTCTTAACCTAGATGTTGAGTTAGGACTTTCAGTTTTTGAATTTTGGTCTTAGATAAAAAATAAATGATGTTTCTAAAGGGCTTTTCTGAGAAAGCAAGCCATAACCAACAAAATAGCCGCGTGTGCAAAAACTGATAAGAAACACGCCAGGGAAGAACGCGGTGATATTCAAATTTGATTGACATCTGGTAATCCAGCGAATCAAGTGTGGTAATTTCTTTACGTCACTTCCGCTCTCTTTAGGGGCAACTATTTGTATTATTTTGAAATTCTCTTTCCTGTCCAAATAAAAGATTAATAGATTAATTAGTACAAGAACAAGAAAAATTTTTAAAAAAAGTATGAAATTTTTCAAAGTAAAATTACTAAAAATTCCCACCCTCTTCATCACCTAGCCAGTTGTGACTGAAGCAAGCTAAAAGGTAGGGAAAATCTAGACTTTAGACCCAGTGAGATATTTCAATTCCTTAAATTTAGATACAAAATAAGCTCCTTGGGTTCCATTTTGAAGAAAAGTGGATATTGGCACAACCTCCCACTGATTTAACCGACTACGTATAGCCTCGTGTTCACGTGGAAACAAGCGTTTTCTACTATTATCTATGAGGGGCTAGCTATAGTGAGTCGCTTAGTACGAGAAAAGGAGAGAGACTTTTTTATTGTGACCATGGCCATGATTTTATTTATTTTTATTTTATTTATTGCCCTATTTTACCATGACGTCACATCAAAACTGAATCTCGTTTAAACGCAAAGGATCATGGTCAAATCAACGCAAATACACCGAAAATGGTTCTAAAACCCGTATCAATCCACGAAGTACATATTAACACATATTAAATCTGAAAACCAGGCCACTTTGAAATCCCAAGTATAAATATGTTATTGGGCCTTACATGCAAATCTTATTGAAAAACAAAATTTTAGTGCGCAGCGCGAAAATACCCTGTTCGCAGAATATGGAAAACCGTAGTAACTGGAAGTCACAAGAAAGTGATGAAAGATGATCAACAATAGCGATGAATAATCAAATAAACAAGGGCTAACCAAAATTACAGCACGAACTGTCCTCATTTCAGACTCGAGATTGAAAGCCTTAAAATGTTTCAATGCAAATGAAATTTTGACATTATGTTGCATGCCTATATTAACTCAATGTAGACTGAGAAACATTGAAAAAAAATCCATCAAGTAGTTCATAACACGTTATACCATTTATATATAACAAAATAGTTCCAAAATACGTCTGACACCGAACTTTATGTATTTGACCCAATATTTCGCCGATATCAAATTGTACGATTTCTTTCCAATTTTTTCCATTACTCCAAAGTGATTTACCAGCAGCTTTAGATAGAATCAGGAACTCAAAAGAGGCACGAGGACGTCCGGTAGAAATTTTACTTCCCTCTAGATTAAAGCTCTGGTCTAATGATCTAGGAAGTTCGAAGAAAAAACTTTTAAGCTTTTTAGCTTTTGTTTTTTGTTTTTTTGTTTTTTTTGTTTTGTTTGTTTTTGTTTTTTGTTTTTGTTTTTTTGTTTTTTTTKGTTTTTTTACCGTTTTGAAGAAAACTTTTAGCAAAACTTTTTGAAAAATTTTTTAAGCAAAACTCTCATATTTGAGGTTTACAACGACAATTAGTAAAAAAATTTTTATTTGATGAGTTTATGAAGATTCGATGTTGATTTTTCGTAAAGCTCATTCACAATACCTGGAAATAGATATGTGAAAACTTCAAGGCAATCCATTCAATGGTATAATGTTTCTAAATTGCGATGTCTTATATGCTTCAAATCTTATGTCCAAGTTTCAAGCGGCGTCACGACTTGCTCTAGGCCTTCCATCCAAATTTACACACAGGCTGCAGTAGTTAGAAGTTAAGAAAAATCGTACTGAGGATGAGGAGAAAAAAGAAAAAAAAACTAAAAATAGCACCGTTTGTTTAATTTTTCGGCCGTAATTGGGTAAACACTTAAACAAACCTTAAAATATGAAAATACGGTACACGGTTAGAATCTAGGATATTCAAAGCACATGTTATTTGAAAGATCCAGTTAAATTGACGCACTATCTAGTTTTGCGGAGCGAGTGAGAATAAAACTGTCCAAAATTCGCTCTGAATTAGTTTGCATCAAACTTAGACTGCGTTCATAATGTATGGCGGAGGGGTGGGGGGCAGGTGAAAATTTGAAATGTCCAGAATAATTCTCAACACCCCCCCCCTTAAAGTGCAAAAAAATACGATGCCTCATAAGCAAGGCTTGTAGCTTCTTCCAAAAATCGTGCATCCCCCCACTTGTCTGATAAAAGTTTGCCCAACCAAGGGGCGGATCCAGAATTTTTTCAAAGGGGGGGGGGGGGGGTTGTAGCATTGATTGAGGTACTCGTTTGGCGGGAAAGTAGCACAGGGTTCCCAAACGGAAGTAGGTTTTATGATAATGATTATTTCTTGCAGGCGAGTATGGTTGTTTCAGGTCCCACACACGGCGTATAGAAAGAAAAGCGAGCGAAATGTAATCGGCACCCCTGTTTTAATAAAACTCGCGATGCTGTTGGTGTGGTCATGAAAAATACATAAATAAATCACGATGGCTCTCATAGGGGGGGTTGCAACCCCCAAAACCCACCCTTAGATCCGCCACTGTATCCCCCCCTTTTTCCTACCAAGATTTTCCCGATCCGCTATGCCTCAATATTTCACCTGCCCCACCCCCTCTGCCATACATTATGAACGCAGCCTTAACAGCAATGAGTTTCATATTAATTGCGATTTCAGTAAAAACATGTTCATTCGAAAATGTTATCTTTCCCTTAAAATCTTAAAACATCCCGCGTATATTTGCGATTAGAAGTTACAAAGTAGCGCGCCAAGAAAACCCCATCTAGCCACCTTAGTTTAGTTTAGTTTATTGCTGTTCGCCGCAACACAATATCCTTACAAAAAATACATTGCAAAGGTAAAAAATAAGCTTACCACCCTAATGGAAACACTAAAAAAAGCTAAAGAGGTTTATTGACATCTATCTTTCAATTGTCTCTATTATATTCTATACAAGCATCTCTGAGTAACATTAAACTTCTTCAAAAAGTCTCTAATCGAATGTGGAGCCCATCTTTGGACGTAAGGGTGATACCAGATACGACATTCATAGGCACTTGAGTTTCTGGCGAGCGAACGAACCTGTGTTTACGTAGGATCTTGATCAGCGTCATCTTAATTTCCAACATGGCAAACCTCATTCCGATACACGTACGAGGTCCACCTCCGAATGGAAGAAACTGAAAGGGGTTGATTAAATCCTTGGCTGGGCTAAGGAAACGGTCTGGGTCGAACTTCTCTGGGTTGGTCCAGAGGTGTGGGTCATGGTGCAGGGCATAGATGGGGTATTTGACTTCCATACCTTCAGGGATTATGACGCCATTGACAGTACAAGTCTTGTTGCAGACTCGGGTCATCACATGCGCTGGAGGGTTCATGCGGAGCGATTCGTTGACAACGCAATCAAGGTATTCAATCGCAAAGCACTGCTCGTAGAGAGACTTCTCAGGGTTCTCTTTAAAGGAGGCTGAAATCTCTTGTCTAAGCTTTTCTTGTATGTTTGGGTTCATGGCGAGATGGTAGGTGATGAACGTCAGAGCATTACTTGAAGTCTCGTGGCCAGCAAGAAGGAACGTCGCAGATTGGGCAGTGATTTCGTCGTCACTTAGACCACCCTTGTTCCCTCCTTCAGGATCATGAGCTACAAGCATGAGTTGTAAAAGATCTTGCCTCTCATTCTTACATTCTCTTCTCATACGGATGATCTTGTCCCCTAAGTCAAGAAAATATCCTAAACTGCCAGCAGACTGGCTGAACAATCCGCGAAGAAGCCGTGCACCAGGAAGAGCCATAAGCATCATTAATATCGCCGGCGGGTGGAAAATCGATCGCGCTTTCAGCAGGAATTCATTGTCGGGGGTTCTTTGTACGTCTGATTTAATCCCAAATGCAGATGACAAAATGACTTCGAATGTCATCTTGCTGTACCAAGAAAATATATCGATGCTGCGACCTGCATGAGATTAAAGAGAAAACATTAGGTGATACACCAAGAAAGACATGTAATAGACCCCTTGCACTGAGTCCCAAAATGATTTGTTCTGGTGGAATTCTTGACGCTATTGTCGTTATTATATTATAAATAAAAATTTGATGCAATTTTTAATAAAGTATCAAATATAAGTTAAGAAGTGGTGATAACTAGTAGAACTAGCGTAGACTGCGTCGGTGTTTCTGAATAAAACACAAAAGATTTATAGTAACGAGAGAGGAGGAGGAGTGGGGACCAGGGAGGGAGAGAAACAGCGAGAGAGAAGCTCAAGGCCTGAGCGAAAAGAGCCAAGGAGATGCCTGCAGAGGAGGCTATCTGGTAACATATTTCATCAACCTTCTTACTGGGTTGCCTGTGGCAGCCCAGTCGTAAAATGCCTTCGGTTTTTTTGTTTTTGTTTGTTTGTTTGTTTGTTGGTTGGTTGGTTGGTTGGGTTTTTTTTTGTTTTTGTTTTTGTTTTTTTTTGTTTGTAGTAAGAATACGGCTTTCAGTCACGAGAACGCCTATGAATCCTTTTACTAACCGAGTTTAACAGTTCCACTTCACTGGTTTGGATATTTAAAAAGACTATATTTGAAGAATATAATTAACAATGGAGAGATCGAGAACTTCAAAACGGTTAGCGGAAAAAGCTAGAACCATTTAAACATATTCCTAAACGAATTTATGTTGCTTCTTCAAGGCCTATACATGGTTCTTGAAAGAAATATATTTCTGTCATCAGACACCACGAGCCTTGGGGTCATGTTAGTTGTTGTCAGTGTAGTTTTAGATGGAGCCTATTAGAAATTAGTGACATCAGTAGCGCAACGCTGTTTTCTCCGGCTACAAAACCGCATCTGTATAGTTTTACTAATCGAGTGTATTTATTCCGCTTCATGCACTGGCTAAAAGACATACAAAAGCGTTACATTTTTATTTTAAAAAAAACACACATTTAAAAGGTGTAAACTTTTGAATAAATTTGATGTGAGGAAAAAAAAAGTGTCTGGAAGTTCTGAAAGAAAAATACACCTATGTTCCAGCATACCAGCATATTGGGCAACCCAGTGCACGCTCCAAGAGCGTCTTGTTATGTTAATTAAACCTCCACCCTTCTGGCTTTCTATATATCTAATGCTCTGGGCTCTATATCCAATAGTACCCTCGCTTTCATTATCTAGCCCTTACATAAAGGATACGTACTAATGAAGAAGACTTTATCAGGTATAAAGGTCCACACACGTGACGTGTCATGGCCTCTCCGGTCGGATCAAAGGCTTATAAATCAGTAATCAGGGGTTTTTTTTGAGAAAAGATGATTTTTACCTGTATCAGCAACCTCTTCAAGTTTCTCAACCAATACATCACATGACTCTTCTATCAAAGAGACCATCTGCTTCAGTTTCCCCGAGCTGAACGTTGGTGTCAGCGTGGACCGGATCCTCTTCCAGTCATCATCCTTTGCCGTCATCAACCCGAATTTAATTTTATTATTTGGAGGGAACCTGAAAAATCGATTCCTGAAGGAGGCAAAATCTTTGACAAGAATCTGTCGAAGCATATCTGGGTCAGCGACAACAACAGCGACGTGTCTTCCCATACACAACGAGAAAACTTTGCCGTATTTCTTCTTGTATTCCAGTAAAGCCAGATGAAGGCCGCCATGTTTCTCTACTTCTTTAAGGTTGCCCGAGAAAGCTAACGGCTGTGGGCCTGGAATTTTGAGTTTCTTGAGTATCCTGAAGGGGTAGGTACCGTAGATGTATATGGAAATAATAACGAGGATGGTTGCTATGGCAGCTGTCGCTGGGTGCAAGATGACTTCCGGTTGTGCGAAGGTCTGAAGGAGGGCGTCAGCAGAAGGCATACTGAGTGTTTACTAAGTTTAAAGTATATATGTATTAGAGCAAATCATTGTAATACGATATAATGCAAGGCAATACTGATGACAATAAAATACAAGCCATTATAATACCAAACTACACAAAATTCAGTGATATTAGCGATAGATGTCATCTAATACTATGAATAATCGACGTATGGGGTTCAAAAGCTATCCAATTCGAAGCAGAATTTATATATATATTCACAAATTTGTCATATCTCATCATAGAGTCGCTTGCCTCCTTCGTTTGGATCGGCTGTCTTGCTTCCTCGACGACTAAGGAATGCGGTTATCTCTTGGATTAATTAAGTAAGCAAGAACCGACTATACATCTCACATAATAATGGTAGCTAGGGCTGCATAGATCCACGTAACTGTAGATCGATATTGTCTCTTCATCAATAGTAGATCGCATAATTTTCAAATATAGCAAATCTATGCTTATCGCTAGCTAATATTTGTGGGTTGTTTCTTTATCTGAGCATAGTTAATAGAGGGGAACTAACTATGATCTGAGTGATTTCTTACTGATTGACCTTCACCTACCTTGAAGAAGAGATAACTAGCTAAAAACTACTGTGAGTAAAGACGTCTTTTGAACTCTGCTTTATGTCGGTTCAAGTAATTGACGTAACGCTCTGTTGATCTTTTTCGCTGACGAAAGCACAGAAAAAACAGCCGGTGCGAGGGGGGGCTGATTGTTTTTTAGCGGGTTACCTGTGGTAAACCGCTCGACAAAATGGACAAATTCACCTTTTCGGCGCTAGCCGTCACGTGGTATAAATTGTGTTGGATTGTGTTACGGTCACCAAAAAGTTCGGACATTGTTTTCGGATTCCCATACAAGGAATTCATTGAGTTTAAAGAGAAAATTTAGATAGATTTCTTTAGTTAGCTCTCTTAACAGTAGTAGGAAAAGCTTCAATCAAGCTAGAAAAATGATATTTTACTTGTATTTAGAGAACTAACTAAACAAACCAAGTAAATAGTTCATTTAAAGTCAGTATATTTGTAAGGAAATCCGAGAACAGTTTCGAACTTATTGGTGACCGTAATTTGTGACAGCTAGCGCCGAAAAGGTAAATTGCGCAATAGTACCTTTGCGGGCATCTGCTATAATAGGGTTCCCGTCTATAGTCCAATCAATAAGCATGTACCACGCATGTCAACTCTCCCGGATAAACCCGGAGTCTCCAGATTTTGGACCGTATCTCCCGGTCTCCAGACTAGAGTATCAAATCTCCCGGATGATCGCTAAAGCTGACCATTTCTTGTCTTGTGAGACTCGACTTTCACAACCATAAAATTCCAATTATTTTGTGTCACGTTGTTTGCGTTATTTTAAATCGCTAACAAAATCAAAACGTTCCTCATAAACTATTCTTGCAAGCAGGCCATTGTAATATAAGCGATAATCTGATTTGTCAGAAATAAACCAATCACATCAAATGTTACAAAGCAAAAGACGTCTTTTCGCGCGCTTTTTGACGCGCTGTGACGTCATGTCCCTTTCCTATCAATATCTCCAGATTTGAATATCTCAGGGGTTGACAGCCCTGTACCACATGTCAATCACTTGTCACTATGTTGTCAAGTGATTATGAAAGGGCGGAGCTAACAGATCACGTGACACAAATTTATGTCTACACATGTACATGCTCTATTTCGTTGACTGCTGTAATTCAAGACGGCCGAACTAGAAATATTAATATTAATTATTAAATCGTAAACAATGATTTTGAAGCAAGATGTTACTAGTAAGGGCTTCTATTAAAGCTTGGGTTTAAAGGGGATACAGTATGGGTCTACGTCTGTGTGCAAAAGGTAAAACTCAACCCTCCCCTCCCTTTTATCCTTTTTTTTTTTTTACTTTTAAGTAAAAGTAGGAACTCAGTATCTCACGGTCACACATTACTCAAAAAAAAACAAAATGGCGGACACAGGTAGTGATCTTTGCTTCCGTTAAGAATTATCTCCAAAAATCTGTTATTTTTTGTCTTCAAAGTGAAAAACCTGACGAAATCGATAGTTTATCTAATGCTATTCATCTGCAAATGAAGATAATTGGATGAAGGTTGGCGTCTTTTTTCCCCAAAGGATGAAACTAAATGAGCGAAGTCTTGCTCAGTTTTCTATTTCTTCAGCGCCCATCGACAAAGAAGGCTATCTAAATAAGAAGGGAGAGCTAAACAGAGGCTACCAGAGACGTTGGTTTGTTCTCAAAGGGAACTTACTTTATTATTTTGAACGTAAAGGAGACAAGGAAGCTATCGGAGTCGTTATTTTAGAAAATTGTCATGTTGAGTTGGCGGAAAGCGAAGACCAGTTGTATGCTTTTCAAATCTCTTATGGAGGTGCTGGGTCAAGGACTTATGTTCTAGGAGCTGATAGCTCTCAAGAAATGGAGTCATGGATGAAAGCAGTAACAAATGCGAGCTACTTATACCTAAAAATGATGGTTGAAGATTTAGAAAAAAGGCTCCAGGACTTAACTACCTCTCAAAATGAAATGGTCAATGATAGTCTGTCTGATAGTGAACGTTTTCTTGACTCAACCGAGTCAGCCGATGCGGAAGTCAAAGTCAATAGACATTCTGCTTCTCAAATAGTAGAAAACAGGTTAAGTATTTCTAAACCAATGCCTGCAAGTAGAACACCAGATTCGTTTGGAAAATTTGAACCAACAGTTGGGACACTTATAGATTTTGATAGTCTTCCTGAACAAGACACTGAGTTCTATTCCATGGGAAAGTCTCCTGAAGACTTGCTACCTCTAAATTTCAATGAATTTCAACATCTAGAAGCTCTCCATGCAAGGGAGTTAGATAGTCAACGAGAAAAGAGTCAAGTCTCTCAAGATGATAGTTTGCTAGGTCAGAGGTTAGCAGCTGGAAATATTAGAGCGCCAAGATCAAAATCTGAAAGAAGAAGGAATCTCAAACCTGATATATCTGATGTCAGCAGCTATAGGAGTATTACACAGACTTTTACTGATGAGGCGTGTGGATTGACAGACCAAGGGAGTGTCTTCAAACGGCTGCACGAAAAGTATGGTGCCTCAATATGGGTGAAAGTAAAGGAGTGTGGAAAAAAAGATGCATTCCTTGATTAGATTTGGTTTATAATCATTGCAGTATACAGCATCTTACTTAACTTAACATGTACATTACAATTATCTTGTTTAAATCTAATTCTACTTTAAAAGCATCGTTAATGTACAGTCTACAAAGAATATTTTGCATCCAAGGGTGAGTCAATGGTAGGGTTTTTTTAAAAATAATGGATAACAGGCCAAATTTAGTTTTAGAAAGAAGGAAATTTTATTAAACATTAAAATAATATGCAAAATTGTTTTAGGGATAATACATGTAGATAATCGACAAAACTATTTGAGAGATACAACTGCAATAGACAACACGGCCTGGTTGTACAAAGCCTGGATAGCACTATCCAACACATATATCTTATCCAGTGGATAAATTTATTGGGTAACAGCATCAACTTATCCACTGGATAAGGACTTATCTGCCGGATAGTGCTATCCAGGCTTTGTACAGCCAGCCCAGGCAAAATTATTCTAGGGACAATCATCAATAAGCTTTATGTGATTACAGTCTTTGTCCTATTAGAAATGGCAATTGGCATCAGAAATATAGGGATATAACAGATAGCTGAACCCCAAATACCAGATTTTCTAGATAGTGCTGAAGTAAATATTATTACAGGGCAAACTACAATAATCAAAAGGAAACAAGTACCTAAAAGGAATGTTGCTATAATTACATAAATGAGCTTACAGCTGCAATCTGACTCACTATGATGTTTCACAATTTTCTCATTTCCTCTTATTCACTTTTGATACCTCTTTAATCAGAATTCATTTTACAGTTCTTTTTGTTGGCTGATCTAACACTATTATCTTGCAACTCACAAAGGAATTAAAATATTTGAATGATACAAAAAAGAGTTTGAAGAGAATTATGGTAGTAGTGGTATTAAGACATGATAAACTAAAAGTAAGTGGAAAATCACACTACCTTCATAAACCTTAGAAATTTAGACGTCAATGAAACTTGTCCTGTTCGTTTCAAAAATTATAATTTAAGAAGAGATTTTAAATTGAAAATTCCAACAATTTCAACTCATTCATAGTTTAAAAAAGTTGAGGTTGGACTGTCATAAAAATACAGCAAATGTAAAAACACATCAAGTCCAAAGTCAATTTGTAGCAATATAATAATTGAAAAAAAATGAAATGAGTTAAATTAAAAAACCATTAGCATATACAGTCAAACATCTGTAAATTTGTCAATTTTCAAATTGAGCTTTCTTGGCTGATATAACACCTGACATAATGAATCTTTGTAGGGTTAATGAAGTATTGGTTTTTTGCTCAGTTTGATTTTAGCTGAACCAAATTTGTGGCTGCCATTTTGGCAAGGGGTCTAACTATTGAGTGAATAGTCACTCCAGTGAATTTGAAAAAGGTCTATTGTCTGTCAAATTATTAGTCTTGTGCTCATATCATTCAAGTAGTGGTTGTAGAATAATGCTGCAAATGTCTCATTCCATACATTATAGTTTCCCTTTGTTTTCATTCTGCTTTAATTATATTTCTCCCATTAAGCCATGTTTCATGTTTTTTTTCACAGGAGAAATACTACAATCCCTAATCAGTGAAACTTCTTAGATATTTTAGTTTAGCAACATACCTCTTTACCTTGGGCTTAATATTTCCCTTTCCAGGCCATGTGTCATTTTCTTGACAATAAGACGTAACAGGAACAGCAGCTAATCTTTCACATTTTTGGTCTTTTTTCCTGTTGTAAATAAATAGAATAGTTGTGCCTGTTCTTGAACTCTTGTAGAAAAGACTTTCATTATTTAATTAAAAATGATCAATGAATGTAGTGGAAAATATTAAACTTTGATGGATATTAATTCGTTTTATATGCACAGTATTAATTTGGTGATGGCATTTAGTATTCAAGGGTGGCTCTAATTAAAAAAAAAAAAGTTTGCCTACTGTGTTAAATCAGGGGTGTGCTCTTATTTGGGGGCTTAACAATTTTGGTCTTAGGTGATGGCCAGAGTGAGGGTAAGGACGGTGTTTAATTGGGGCAGCATTTAAAGGAGTAAGTATGTTAGCTGCTGCCCTAATAATATTTATTATTTATTGATGATGTTCAAATTAACATCTTCATCATACTGTGCCATCTGATGTTACTGTTTTTCATATTCTGCCAACTAGCTAGTTGCCTTGGTCACCCGGCAAAAGCCCGCTGACCAAAAAGCCGGAAGCTCTAGTTTTGGACTCGAGATTCGCCAAATCTTGGATAATGAGTAGGGTCTGGGAATGAGAATGCGCCAGCCCGCTGACCAATAAGCCGGAAGACTCCTTTAAGATTTTTTTTTGTGAAGTTGAGGGGGACTAGGGCCAATGGCATTGAAACAACATGGCGGACGAAGGTTAGTGTTTTGATCTATAGTTTTCTTTGATTGTCATCGGCAATCAGGGACGTGGGAGCCAGGGGATGGGCTTGATTCCCCCACATTTGACGAGAATGACATATAGTTTTGTTCTAGTTTGAGTTCTGTAATGAAGAAAACAGGAGATTATTCCCCGCAACTCTCTAAGCCCCCTACTTTAAAAAGTGTTCCGCCGTCTCTGGCGATTTTAAACGCATTTTCTGTCTGTTTTGAACATCTGATTTGCACAATGAAGGACGAGGACTCATTATGAAACTCTGTTCTGGTGCAAGGTCTGATCGATTTTATGGCTTTCTTGAGGAGCTTTTAATTTTAGACAGATTAACACGCTTGAATGAAATTATTAGGCTTACTCTACTCCTTGGGTACCAGACACAGTTATTCAGTGGGGAAAAAAAAAAAGATTACCAAAACATGAAATCGGGGAAACCCAGGCTTAGCGATACGGGTACGTGGCGCCAAACATTGAATGGTTTCCAGCGTTTCTACTCTGCAAAAGGGTATATAAAATCGAGCTCGCTCTCTGGAACAGGTAGAGCTGTATCTATATGAAGTCACGCTCTCTCTCTTTATCCAGAACGGGGTATCTAGTCTTTGTAAATGCCGGAACAGGTTTTTTGTATACAACAGGGTTTTGTTTTCAGCGATTTACTTTGGGACAGGATATGAATTTCAGAGATTTTACTCTGGAACAGGGTCGAAGTTGGGCACATCCCTACCCTAAATGAGCAAGAGCAGAGCAAGGGGGTGGAACCAACGGAATTACCAGATAAACTCCAGATAAATAAAAGAAATATAAATAATCATTACAATAGAAAATCTTTCAAATTTCTTCTCAGTACCAAAATTGCTGCCATGTTTTTGTTTTTTGACTCCCTTCATGTTGGGAATGCTTGCAACCCATCATTGTGAGTTCTAGTAAAGTTTACTTTAATAATATAATAATAATAAACTTTATTTTTATAGTGTCTAGAATTGCTCTAGGTGCTCTACGATGCTAAGAAAATATAATAAGTTGAAATATATAACAATTTAACAACATTGACTTTGAGTTACTAGGGTACCATTTTTAAAGGTAGGAAGCCTGATATGAAAAAGGAAACCAATGTATCACAGTGGCTAACAAGACTAGTAATCATGCCCCCTCCCTATCTAGCCTTAGCCATCATGCCACCTCTCATCTAGCCTCAACAATCTAGCCTGCATATATATGCGTTATATTTGAATAAAATCAGTCTGGTATTTAAGTATTTATGTGAATAAAGATGGACAAATGCTTTAAATTTGAGTTGAAGAATTGAAGCGGAGAAACAAAGTGAAGACTTAAGCATCCTTCATGGTTTTAGGCTAACCATTTGTTTTATTACATGTGTATGGTCATTTTGGTACATTGTCTATACTCAAGTCATAACAAAATATTACCTTCTCCCTTTCTTTTTTATACTTTCTTCCTTTTTGGGTTATGTTATAAAGCACTGATCAACAGTGTCTGTTAAATCTGTTTCTTAACAAGCTAATGGCATTCAGTCAGACAATGTATGATAAAGGATTCATTGTAATGTATACATGTATTTTATATATCTGGAGTTTTTCTGGTGGTTCCATAGGATCCATTGGTTCTTTGGTTTGGTTTGGTTTGGTTTTAGTGATGCTGGAAAATAGACCCCAAGCTAACAAAGAATAAAATAGTTCTGTCTATGCTACACTGTAGATTGAACAGAGGTTAATAAAATATAAACTGGTTTGATTTTATGATCATCAGGGCAAGTAGCCAAGCTAGAAAGGCATCTGAGCCTACTAAGAGAAGAATATGTCAAACTGCAGAACAAAATGATAGACATAGAGCAGAAATACAGCGTGGCGATTGCTTCTTCTGGTCAAGTGAATGAAAACACTTTTGTCAGTAGGCTTCTCAAGACTGTGGCTGAATTGTATGATAAAGATCTTTACAGGTAATAAAAGTATATTGTAAGCTACAGTATTTATTCTCTATACTGAGTTCTCACAGTTAATGCAGGAAACAGCTAGTACTAAAATTTATTTTTCACTAAAGATACTGTATATACTACAAAATGGTGCAATGTTTCACTAGTGCTATTAACTATTGTAAATACAGTAGCACTAGTATAGTTATGTAGAACTTTTTCATACACTTAACATAAGCACTCTAAACATTTATTACTGGGTTGCCTGCTACCCGGTCAGCAGTATTCTGGCTTCAATGGCTTGGATATTTACTAACCGAGTTTCATTCCACTTCACCAGTTTGGATATTTAAAAAAACTGTATTTGAAGAATATAATCAATAATGGAGAGATCAAGAACTTCAGAACAGTTAGCAAAAAACAAATAACTATTTAAACATATTCCTAAATGAATTTATGTCGCTTATTTGGCCATATACACAGTTCTTGAAATAAACATATTTATTTCGTCAGATAAAACGAGTCTTTGTCAGGTCAAAGGTTATTGTGTAATTAAAGAAGGAGAGTATATAACTTAGTGACGTCAGTTAACGCAACATTGTTTTCTCTGTCTACAAAACCACCTCTGTAGTGTTTCAAAGTACAAAGATTAGATGTTAAATAAGCTCCAGCATACCTGCACATTGGGCAACCCAGTGCACGGTACAAGAGCATATGAAATGTAAACTTATTATTTTTGGGAGAAGGCCTCTTTCAGATGTCTCGCTTCAGACATGAACTTGGTGGATCTCAATCAAAGGCATTTCCAAGAAGTTTATTTCTCTGATGTACATACAATGCCAAGGGAAAATTATTACAAAAATTCTCTTTTTGGACTTAGAGGCTGAGACTCAGTTAGAGGCGGCTGCTTGCAGGCTAGGTCATTAAAGAAATTGCAATTGTGCCATGAATAAACTGTTCTACTGGACAATAAAAACTAAGTCACAAGCTCAAACCACTGATGTGAGCCACACAAAGGAATATTGAAGGAAATTTACTTACGTTGACATCAGCAAAAAAGAAAACATTCAAAACCGGTTCACAAACCGTGTATTATCACTCTGTAATTGCACTCAATAAATGATCGTAATACACAGGAAATGGAGTGTGTTGTATAATAATGAACAATATTTCTCTTCGCAAATGCTTCAGCAATGCTAGAATCCTTACAAGGTACAGCTTTTAAGAGCGCGCAAGAATTTGTAAGTTATTTAAAAAAATATGTATTGATAGTTTAAAATATGTGAAATTATAATATATTATATGGATCTATATCATGAATTATTATTTATGTAATATTTATCATATTATTATTATGTTTATTATTTCAGTGATATAACAGTATCATTTGATGGTCAGAAAGTCAAAGCACACAAATTCGTTCTAGCAGCCAGAAGTGATCACTGGTGTAGTAGAGATCTCAATGAAGTCAATGAACTGGAGTTAACTGGTGAGTAATTCAGCTTGGGCTTAATCTGTTTCAGTGTTGTACGCAGTGTATACTGAGAGTTAAGTAAACTGTGTTTTAAATCAATAATGATTTTAGTGAACTACGCTTGTATACTCAGTAAGACCATAGTTAATGGAGCGGAATGGCTGGGAAACCTATTGTTTCGTTTTTTTGATCGACTTTATCCATTGTTATATGATGTTTACCGTGTACAGAAAAGGAGAAGTTGCCCCATTTTTTTTTTTCTTTAAAAACATCTTAAAATAGTTATTATTTGTTTATTAATCCTATATGATTATTATTAATTGTTAATTAAAATGGAAATTGCCCTTTTTCATGCTTCCCTATTTTTCATCTAGTAACTTAGCTGTAAATGCATGGACTCGTATGGCAAACTAGCTCACTTCAATAGTCTTCTATGTGTTTTGTGTTAGATATCAGCAGAGATGTAGGACTGACCCTAATGAAATGGGTTTATACTGACAAAGCTACCTTCCCTAAAGATGAGTCATTTCTTATTCAACTTGTCAAAGCAGCTAACAAGTACAAACTCAAGGACCTGAGACACAGGTATCCCAATAGCACATCATTATTTCTGTTTTCAAATTTTGTCATAATACACCGAAACAAATGGTGACCAATTTAAATAACTATCGTTCTGCACTGACTAGCGACTACCTAGCCTCATCTAATGCGAACATAAAAACATTTTCACATGTATAGTATGATAGGCTATTTATAGTTATTTGTAATTTTCTATAACTTGGTCAGTAAAGGATGCAATATTGTGCCATGAATAAATTGCTCTGATCAGACAAACATGACATATTCACAAGACTAATTAATGTTCAATGCTTTTTTCTAACTGCTTCTGCAGTCAGTTAAGAACAATAGGCAGGCACAAAGTGTCTGCTTGTATATTAAATAGAGTATTGATTGGTTACCTGTGGTTGGTAAACCAGGTCTACCATTAAATAAATACATTACAAATTTATATACATATAGTTTAATATTATTTTATGATATCATATTTTTAGGTGTGAAAAGATGCTGATGTCATCTGTTAATGTATCCAACTGCATTAAGTTTTACCAAACAGCAGAAGACATTGGTGCTAAAGAATTGCAGAAGTATTGTGCAGAGATTATTTCCAGCCATTGGGTATGTTTTCACCTGTAAACTTTCACATAAAAAAGAACAATGAACCTTGAGAAAAACCCTTATGGAAGGGAAGATAATAACACATTTCAACATTTCCCAATCGAATGTGCAAAATCATGCAATTTGCAGTGCGACAAAATAGGGTTTTGGTGGATGCCAATAAAAGTGTTTTCATAACTTCATTGGAAAACACAAAATTTGCAAGGACATAAGCTGGCCTTGATTAATGTCCACCAAAACCTACTTCATCGTTATGGCAAATTATACAAATTCATGCATGTGATTGGAAAGCAGTGGTTACAGGCAGTGTGGTGGCAGTACATACCACACATAATTCTATATATCCTTTTGCTACATGTATAAGCTCTAAAATGGCTAATTTAAAAGAATTTTAATTGAAAATTTTTAGCAAAGAATCATATTCTCAAAACTTTGTGTCGTTATGGCATATTTTTTTCTTTTCACAATCTATAGCATGACCTGAAGACAGAAGACTTTATCCACATCAGTGCTCCTTTACTTTATGAAATGTTCAAGTCCAAATCTTCGCATCCACTTCACCTGGCTATTAGACACCACAGAGAAGATGTGCTATTTCTTTTTCTGATAGAGTTTAACTCACAAGTGAGTTGACGAAAGTGATACATGTACATTCAGTTAATTCTAGACAGTGAAACCATGAAAAATACTTTATTATAGCCATTCATTATTTATGTCTAGAAGGAGGACTGGCTAATTTCATAACTTATTTCATGAAAATGTATTATATCCAAAATAAGAATTCCTAGGAGCCCCCATTATTTCTGTGTGATTATGACAATATTCAGATTCCTTTCTCCCCCCATCTTGTATATTTTTTAAGTTGTTATGACAGCCCTCTTATTTTATTAGCTCCCCTAAACATATGGCTGGCCCCGTCATTTGTAAAGTCTCACCTTTTATGTGAGCTGTATTTCTGTTCTATTTTTAGCAACAAAAATATCTATGCTTTAGTTTCATGAATAACAAATGTAGGTGGCAGTTTACTTTTGTGGGAAAATGTTTTATTTTAGCTGCAATTTCTTAAAGTGAAATTTAATGCTGATCCCCAATAAGAAAAGAAGGTTTTTCCGAGCTTGTTTTTGAGGTAATCAGCATTAGAATGCTGCCTTCGCACTAGTTTTTGAAGCAAAAAATGCACCTCCGGCAGTGATCAGAAAAAAAACTCATGAGATAGTTAGTTCTTGCACACTGCATACAGTCAATTCAAAAAACGTTGTCGTCGACCGGCTCAAGCCTACGCGACTGGATCGAAAGGAATATGGGTAAAAATCACTGAAGCGGTTAAATATTCGTTCTGAATTAATTGTTCCTGCTAGTAATAAGACAATAATGGCGAGAAACAATCCATCAAATGCATGTCTTTGGGTTTAGGGAAAGAAAAACAAAGTAGTTATGATTCAGTTCACAATTTCGAAAATATGAAGGCATTAAAAAAATGTCTCCTTCAACGCTTCCCGCTCGCCTACGAAGGTTCGTGCTGTAAACCAGGCATAACTAGTCAGATAAAATGATAGAGTCAACTTGGCTACAACGATTACTACCCAGAGTTCCTTTCGGTCCAGTCGCGTAGACTTGAGTTGGTCGACGACAACATTTTTTGAATTGACTGTATTATAATTACCCAATGCTGGCTAGTGAATCATTCTACAATGCCACATGTACAAACAAACAAATTTGATTTGACGTGTTTCGTCCTTTTAGCACTCTCAAAAAGTCCCCCCAAATAGGCAAAAATACCTACGAAAATAAATTTTTTACTGCGTTAGGAAAATTAACCTACTGCATTTGAAAAATTTGAACATTCAATAGTAGGCCTCATCGTAAAAAATTAATCGTTTTTCATATACACCCCTCCTGACCCTTAGCTTATTACAATTTTAGATAATCCTATGATTGTGTCATTTTTCCTATTCCCTCTTTTCTTTTAGCTTGCGCAAAAAGTGAATGAAATTGATCCAACCACAGGCGAGCTTCCTTTACAAATAGCTTTGGCAGAAAAGCTTGAAAGCATTGCTAAAACTCTTGTTGGAAATGGCTGTGATGTGAACAAACCAGACATGGAAGGTGACTGCCTCTTACACAAGGCTATTATGAACGGAGATGAGTTTGCAGCAACATTCTTGATAAAGAATGGTGCAAACGTCAATGCTGCAAACCACACTCAGCACATTACCCCTCTGCACTTGGCTGCTTCTTACAGGTAAGTTACTACTTTTTTAAAAAAAAGTTTCAGTACCAAGAACAGCAATAAACCATATCGAGGAGTGATAAAACTAGCAATAAAATAAATTGTTCCTACTATTTGACTCTCGTGCACTCTAAATTCCATTTTGTCAAGAAAGAATTTAACAAGGTTAAACGTATACCAAGATTTCATTTTTTATCTACTAAAACTAGGTCTATTCCTGTATTCCTTAGGAATATAACTTCAAAATGGCTTCCCATTCAAACTATCATCTACTAGATGAAAATATTCTTTATATTTCATTTCACCTAATTTCAATCATAGTTGTATATTATACCGCCCTAAAAGCTAATAGATATAGGCCTATCTTAAACGTCCAATTCCACATGTGCAGAATCTAAAGCAAATGAGCCAAACCTATTGTCTGGCTCGTGAAATTCGACGTTTAAAGTGGGCATTACTTTCTTTGTCTGGTTGCATTTTGATAGTATTTATAATATCGTTGTTCTTTTGCCAGGCATTGGTCGCCATCCATGGGCACGTCCAATAGTAAAGCTGCCCAAATGACGTCTGCTGAAGGAATGGCTAGAATAACTGCTCTTCTTCTTAAAAATGGAGCTAATACTGATGCTCGGGACAACGAAGGAAGGTAGAAAAATAAATAAATAAAAAATAGGGAAGGGATGAAAAAAACCATCATCATTTCGAACATTTGTGCTGTTCGAAAGTTTCCCGAACAATTAGCGCGGAAAAGATGCGTGCACGCCGCCGGTAAAGCACAAATTCCAGTATATGGCGGGAAATATAGTGGAAGTCTTTCAAAAGCATATAGAGTATGTAAACATGTAAGAACAGGAAGTCGTGAGGGGACACTGATTAATCTTGTATAATTTTGCCAATGTATAGTGAAGAAAGTAGTAAAGTAGTGTTAATGTATTATCAACGATGTTTTTTTCAATATTTACAACTAAATGCACGTTTTAACTTCCTGTTGAATATTTGTTTTGATGAGTGTATGGTACCTATCGCCACGCAAAGATTTGGCATGAATAGCATTAGGGTATGTGACATCGGGGATTTGGCATCCCTGGTGACATCAAAAGAATTAGACCACCAGCCCCTTTCCTAGGTCTATAAACCAGTAGTGACATCATGTTGTTTATCAGAATAGACCTCTTTGTCTAGGGCGTAATGTTTTTCCATTTCGGACCATGTATACTCTCTTGAGAATAAGATCCTTTGTAGACTAGTTTCCATGAACCTGTGAAACAGATATCATCAGTTAGTGTTAAATTGATGGTTTTCACGGCGGCCATGTTGGAGGAACTTAACAAAAGAATTGTCAATGAATTCTTTTGTTATATCCTCCAACATGGCCGCCTTGTATTTTGTTATATATTTCTCTAGGGAATGGTTGAAAACCATCAATCAGTATCATTTATTAAAGAAATAATGTTCTAGGGAATGATACGTCGTCTGAAATGGAAAAGCATTCAACCGAAGTTAAGAGTTCTATTCTTATCTTTTTCCTCAGAACTCCATTGCATAGAGCGATCGAGGCTRATAATGAATCGGTGTTGAATGCCCTACTTCAGAAAAATAGGTATTTCATCAGTATTATTTTTATTTTAAATAACAAGCTTGAGCTTTTTGCGATTCTTACTATTAGATGTAACAGGTTGATGTCTGCCGAAATTGTTTGCAAGCTGCTGTGACGGAGTCGTGACTTTGTGCCTTTGACAGACTGATGTGACAGGAAGTGGAGATTAACTGTTTTAAACTGCTTTCTCCTCCAGTTTGAATCTAGAGCTACGTGACAATCAAGGACGTGTTCCACTGTGGTTGGCGCTGTCATACGATAACAATTTTGATCCAATGGATGAAGACAGTCTTGCAGCCAACCTTGTGTCTCATGGTGCCTGTCCTGACTCCATTAACGCAACAACAGGTGAGAAAAACTCACTACCGATGTTCAGAACCAATTTTGTTACACCCTCAAAAGGATTTTAGATGTTTAAACCGAGTACTTATAACCACCTTCGCGGTCATTGTTTTTGCGCATCCTTTCTGCGCCGAGCTTTGAGTTCTTTCAAATGGACGAGGAACCCCTGGATGATTGTGTTTCTGTGACAACTACGATGAAATTCAAAATGGCGGACAAATTTTCAAAATTTGCGGTACCCCAATTCCCCCCTTCTTTAAATTTAGTTCTTACCAACATCTATAACACATCAAAAAAAATAAATTCTACGATTTTTTTTTTTCTTAAATCGCGCATCCCCTCTATTAACTATGGTTTCGGCTCAGCAGCCGTTTTTCTTAGCGGTCCGAAAGCTTCCCTCCCCAAAAAGAAACATTTGCTAAATCGAGCGCTACATTCCTTTCCCATTCTTTGGCCAATCACAGTTAACCCACTATATTCTGGTAGCTCGATAATTAATTGGCTAAAAAATAATAGCCATGCATTTTTTAAAGTCAGTTACTGTCATTCAATTCATTCAATTTCATTTCCGTCGAACAGCGATTGGAAACTAAATTTAGTTCATATTTTATTTTATTTGGAAATTAATGTCTCTATCAAGGTTTGGTTTATACGTTCAGCTCGTTTTGAAGCTTTTTAAGCTTCAGTAATCGCTTGTAACAAAACCTAATGCAGATAAATATAAATCTCAAAGCGTTGAAATATTGTCAGATTGTTGATAAGTCGATTTCAATTAATTTTGGCAAACGCAATACAACTAGCCTCCTTTGCAGCCGCTGTGAGGCGCTTCCGGTTCCCGTCATTCCCCCACTAGCGTCTGCTCAAACTTGAACAACATTCCTTTCTACATTGTTTTCTATTAGCCAATCAAATTGCCGTAAAGCCGTACAAGAATATTTGGTAGAAGTCAGTTGGATATTCCATGTATATTAGAAAGACTTGGTGGGTTAAAAGACCTTCAAGACTGTGGGGAGATTGACGAAAACGTCTTTCTTTTGTAAAACTACGGCATTAATAGCTTTTTTCTGGTGATCACTAAACTTATTTATTTGAAAAATGGGGCTTAATTTGCCATAAAACATATCCAAACACTCACTGCCTACCGCCGCCGTCTTGTTCGCGGGAAAGACGGCTAAGGTCAAGATTTTGTGGGGCTCTCTCTGATTGGTCAATTTTGAAGAAAGGAATGTTGTTCAAGTTTGGGCAGACGCTAGTGGGGAAATGACGGGGACCGGATGAAGCGCCTCACAGCGGCTGCAAAGGAGGCTAAATACAACGGACGAGTTCCAAAAAGACTTTATCCTTTATACTATTTTTGGAGAAGTTTCCATAAAAACATCGATATTATTGTGACATAAATAGAGATTACTTCATGGTTAGTGAGCGCGTACGGTTTTTATTCACGAGTTGTGAAGAATCAAACGAACGAGCGAGTCTTCGAGCTTTTCGTGTCTGTTCAAAGTCAGCGTCTTTGATGATGCTCACCCCATAATTTTTCTTCTTTAGATATCGTTCAAAACTAGCTATAAAAGCCCGTAGAGAGCTTGGTTCGTAGTTTTCGTTGGCTGGTTCTTTCTTACGGACACCGAGGTCGAATTCGCTGAGGTATTCGTTGAGTTCTTTCGCAGGAATCTGTTCTATAGCCCTCGTCTCTCCTTTCGTTTGTAAAAATTCGCTTAGGAGTGCCACATCGTTCTGTGTCTTTTTTCTAGTGTTTTCGTTTTCCTGGCTCTCGATAAACTCAGTGATTGAGTCGATTTGAGCAAATCTTGAGCAACAACCTTCCATGTTTAAGAACTTTTGACAACAAACACTCAAACGCAAGCTGACACTGTCTGCATGAAGCGCGGGAAAACTCGATACAATTTTTTTCACTAGTGAAAAATATCGTATAGCCAATCACAGTGCTGATACGATGTTCTTCACTAGTGAAGAAAAAACGTATAGCCAATAGGATCGCTTCCCGTTTTTGTGATATGATTTTTATCAAATAGCTTGCAAACATGTAAATCTCAGTACTTATATAATAAAATATTTTCGCGGGGAAAACCCTTTCTTAATCGGAATAAGAACTACAATAATAGAGGCTTTGCACCATCACGTGCCGGCGCCCATAATACAACTTGGACTCCCTGAGTAAAATGGCAGTGCACTAAAATCCTTTTGCCCGTGTAAAATGATCGATTGTTCCTGCCATCTCACATGGCTGCCGTCACGTGATGATGCAAAGCCTCTACAACCTACATTGTGATTGGTCACTGCAGAACAATTGCTAACATTTTATTGGTTAAAAGATTTTTCGAAAGACGTTTGTGGTGAGGGAAGCCTTCGGACTGATACGGGGAAAAAAACCGCTAAAAACGGCTGCTGAGAAGACTATTTTGACGGGATCGAATACGGTGGCCGCCATTTTTATTTTGTTTTTTGAACAAGAATATGATGCGGTATGTTAATAGAAAAACGTTCATTTGCCCGCGAACGTCCTTAAAATACTTTTTGTTTGAAGGTGACTCACTACTCCATATGGCTGCTTCAAGTGGCCGAGAGAAGGCAGGCCTCTTTCTTGCTTCACGCAGCACTCAACTTGATTACATGAACAAGGCAGGGGAAACCCCACTACACTTGGCTTGTAGAAATGGCATGGTTACCTTGGTAACAGAGTTATTGAACAGGTACATTGACATACTTGCTTGGCGTAGTTGTTTGCTGCTCGCCTCTCACCGCTGTGGTCGAGGATCGAGCCTCGGACTAGACTGGATCATATGTTAGTAGAGTTTGTTTAATGTTTTGTTCTTTTTCTTGCCGAGAGGGTTTTCTCCGGTTTTCCTCCCTTCGCAAAAATCAATATGCGAGTTGAGTATTGTATGCATAGAATATCGAATGTAGTGGAAGTGTGTGTGGAGCGAACATCACCACGGAAAAGCCCCGTACGGGGAGTGATCATGGTTGTAAAAAATATAAATATACTGGAATGTGTTTTCACTCTGAATCGTTCGCCAAATCGAGGAATTGTCACATTTCTATGAAACATGCCAGAAAAAATTCTTACTTAATAATTTATTATTAAAAAATAAATTTTGAATTTTTGAACCTTGAATTATGAAGTTTATATTAACTACATTGGTTTCCGTCTCGACATTTCGTTACCTTTAAGGCAACATTCTCTAGAATGTTCACATGAGCGAACCCCCAAAACACAGTTTCATTAGCAATTATGTTAATTAACTTTTGTACCCAAATGTTCTTGCAGTGGAGCTAATCCAAATACCCAGACAACCATAACAGAAGAAACACAAATGAAAGCATCCGAACGTGCAACCGCTCGAGGACGTGCAAAACTCGAAGCAAGAAAAAAAGCTATTGAGCTTTTCAAACAAAAGCAAAAAGAAAAGGCAATGGAACGCGCTAAAGAAATTGAAATGAAGAAAACAAAGAAAGATATAAAGACCAAGAATGCTGCTCCGAAACAAGTTTCCATGGCTACCGCTCCGACGGTTGCCGTTAAGGCAAATCCTTTCGAAGAAGATTTGGGTGTGAGTAACCCCTTCGATGAGGATCAACGGGGTTTCTCGTTTGGCTCAGATGAAGGGAATCCTTTCCTTGCGGATATCAAAGCAGCTGAGTCGGCATCTTCTGGGGCAAATCCTTTTTATGCAGAAACTAAAGGTTAGCGGCTATTTTTTCCTTATAGAAACATTACTTCATAGAACACTCTGTATTTCAGTGGAGTCAGCGGAATGCTGTTAGAAAGGGATCGTGGTTCAGAGAACATAAATTTCGATTTAGTTATTGCGAGTGGAGCATGTTAGGAAGCATTAAGTAGAAGCCAAAAAGAGAGGGAGAATACAGGCAAAAGAAATTCGATAAATCGAACGAGTATAGATGCTGCTGCTGGGGCTACGGTGGGTATTTTTGATAACTCTCAGTTGTAGTTCTGTTGCTGATATTTTGGAACGACCATTTGTTTTCCTTTGCTTCTTCTTCGAGTCTTGTGCGCTGGTTCTGCTGCTGCTGTTACTCCTTTACAACGACAATTGTTGGACTGCTTGTTTTTGTTGTCACGTCTGTCCTCTTGTTTAATCATGTTCTCGTTTTAAAAGACTCAGAAACGAAGCAAGAAGAACACGAGGAAAGCTTCGAAGAAGACGGACTGACTATCAGAGAGGACGATCTACCAGAGCCATCCGAATATGATATCAGTAAACTGATTCAAGAGCAGAGACTGTATGAAGATCCCTTTGCTAATGTCATCATCACTGACTGTCATGGCAGGACACCTTTACATGTGGCTGTTGCACACAAACACGAGAATGTTGTCAACTGCTTCATTAATTTTCAAGGTACGTACCTATTTGTCTCGCTTTACTCCTTCAGTTACTTGATTTTTAGAGATCACATGAACAATGAATAAGCAATAGACCAAACAGGGAAGTGTTAATGTGTTGTAGAGTAGGTAACTTTGCTCTTTATGAGTTTCTTGGGGATTGAGATCGGTTTTATTTGAGATTTTGTCCACAGGCTGGTGCTGCACAATAGGACTCAGGGTCCCCTTCGAAGTACATTGCACCATTTTCCAACCCCGTAAAATCCCCATACCCACAATCAATCCATTAAGAAATTATTAGTAAAGGCCAGACACTGAGGGTGATTACTGCCAGGGTTTACGGTTAAATAAGCTGTAACCATATCTCGACTGTTGGATATTGCTTTTTATGGGTTGCCTGTGAAGTTTAGACTTAACGGACTTTCTAGTAAGCAGTCAAAAGAGGTATTTGAAACCCGTTAAAAACTTATTATTCAACCAGGCTCCAAAAGCCGGCGGGTTCCCTCTAAACACCTCCCGCTTGGCTTACTGTTGTCCTATTTCTGACCGGCACATGGTCATTCCCCTGAGCAATGTATGAGCAATATTGCTATATTGTTAAAATATCTGGACGTTACCATACTTCAAAAAGATTTCGGAGGGCATCCAAGCCTGGTCAAATTATACATAGTGCAAAGATGTTAGTGCTGAACTGGAGAGCACTGAAATTCAAGAGCACCTAATCATCCAAAACTATGACATCGCTTCAATATTTACTTAACAACCTTAGGAATTATCAATGAGCATGAAATTCGGGCAAAGTGAGTTGCAACGAGTTTTGGCATGATCGTAGTTTTCGTGAAAGTGTCTGTAAAACCGTGTCAAAAGTAAACATTGCGTTTTTATATTGATTTGTATATTTTCACTTTTGGCACGTTACTGGATTACCTTATTAAGTATTTAATAGAGACATATGATGATAGAATAAGCGGTGTTTTTTGTAAATAAATACCCCAGAAGTAGCAATTTTGGCTACGGAAAGTCCACATAAGTCCAAAAGTCGTTTTTACATAAATTATACTCTTAATTTAGATATCTCCGAATATCTCCGAATTCGTATTACAGATTTTAATAAAACTGCGCCCAGAGGAAGACACAGCACTCAAGGAATAGGCAGCATAAAGCATTTCCCTAGAAAATGCGGTTAAGGGCTAAAGTTCGATTTCCAGAATTATAACAGTGTGACGTCATTACCACGGGATATGCAATCCGATCTCCGCGAAAAAAAAAAWATATATATATATAGTTTGGTCTATATGTAACATATGTTTCCTAATGGCTATGAAATCGGAATCAATCCCTTTAGGCATGGAAGGTTCAAAGTTAGTAGGGGCTCATGCAAAAATATTAGGTCGAGTCACCTTTACCAAGGGGGCGTTTTGGAGCGCTCACCTATGTACTCTTGCCCCATACGGCGGTTTAAATAAGGGACAAAAAATTAATTCCTCTAAACGAATCAGATTCAATTGACTAGTACTTTCATGATGCAGATATTACATTCCATCGTTTTTATTTATAATCCCTTGATTTTTTAAAGTTTTAGTCTATTTTACTAAAAATACTAGTGATTTTCTATAGCCTTAGCTCTCTCCAAGTATTATAAATGTAGAATACTGACGAAGGCTGAAATGGCCGTTTACCTAGTTTGTGTCAGCTCTTTCAGATTTTGAATTTCCAACAATAACAGTACCCCACCCATCCAACATTTATGATGCCCCTTTTGCATTCACGATGTTCATATATATCATAGTATATGTATATATACATTTACAGACAGCCTTGGCCGAGGTGGCCGCCTTCTCGTTGTGCCAGACTTCAATCTAACAGACTCAGAGGAACAAACTGCCCTAGAGTTCGCCCTGTGGACTGGACAATACCAGGTGGCCGAGCGTCTCTTGGAAGCTGGGGCGGATATTGATATCCAGACCTCTAACGGTATGACTTTACTGCACAAAGCGACGGAGAGACTGGATATAGGAGCAGCTTTGTTCTTATTGGACCACGGAGCTGATATCAATGTCAGGTACGATAAATTTGATACATTAGATATAATAAATGGGATGTATGTTTGAGGTTTCAGTTTAAAAAAAAAATCTTGATTGATACAAAAATTATTACAGAGATTAAAATTGATAATATAAATAGAAAATAGAAATTACACGTTAAAATATATGAATTTGGCCTAAAAAGCTTTTTACCGTCCAAGCTCCAGTTAACCGACGGCCAGTCCAATCCATAAAATAACGATTCCAGATTTTATAAATATAAAAAATAAAACGTTTCAAAACTTAGAATTTAGGAGCTTTGATTTAAAAATCAAACTTCCGAGACTCGGCGTTTTTTACAACAAGATCATTCATACATTTTCAACTGCTGGAAATTCACCGAAACATTTTCAAGTTTGTGATCCAAGATGATCAAAGCAATCTAAGTCCAGCATATTCCCTCAGGCTACGCGATTCCGGATGATTATAAAATTAAGCGAAATACCTTGAATCTTAATTATGATTTAGATTCTACCTTTGCTTTTCGTCAAAATGAAATGGTTTGACACTCCAAAAAAGTTAAGTTTTTACTGATGAGCCACTCCCCCCAATAAAATACGTTCCCTTTAAACTGCAGGGCCGGGTTGTTCAAAGCTGGATTAGCAGTAATCCAGGATTAACTCTATAGGTCTTATTAAGAGTTAACCCAGGATTAGCGCTAATCGGGCTTTGAACAACTGGGCCCAGGTTTTTCCTAAACAATTATTTACCAAATTAGATGGCCGTTTGAATGGTTTTTGTTAAGCAGTTTTTGTAGAGCTCTGCTGGCCCCTTTTGCTTTGGTAAAAAGTATTTCAAGTCCTTTTGGTAACTCTGACTCGGGCTGTACTGTTTTTTTTTTTTTTGGCCTATAATATCTCCCGCCGCCATATCCGGAACTAGAAGGTTTGATTCCTCCCACGGGATACTTGTTGTTTTTCTCGCCGATATTTGTGTCAATCTTGTTCTCCTCCCCTATGTCTTTCAATTGTTTTTGTAGGTCATCTTCAAAAAGCATATCTATGCTAGGGGAGAGCAGAGGGATGCGAAATCCTGGCCTATATTTTTTATAATGAATCTCTTGAATATTGATATATGCTCTGAGAATTGCATGTTTGTATTTACGGCTACTATACATTATTGACTTTGCCGCTAGGTAATGGGAACCATACACAACTATGAAACTTAGACCTTTACATTTTTTAGATGCCTAGCTTGTTGGTTTTCTTTAGTGAAGTCCGCGTAAATTTGAAAGAGTGAAGTCAAAACCCCAAGGCATGCCGCGACGGGGTTGTCTTGGGCACACTTTAATTTATTGCGCTAAAATTTTTTCCGAATTTCTGTTCTTTTCTCAGGACGAAAGACAATATGTCTGTCTTGCAGTTAGCAATCCACTGTCGTCTGCAGCCTGTTGTCGAAGCTCTCTGTTCTCGACAGACGGACTTGAATACCTGTGATGAGAATGGAAATTGTCCTCTTTGGTTTGCGCTGAAGAGTGGTCAGATTGATGTGGCGTCTACACTCGTAAGTGAGCTGTAATGAATAATTAACTTTGTATAGGAAATCGCACGATCTCGAGTACAATTTTGAAATTAATAGACACGAGTAATGTTTTGAAAGTTCTTGTAATTGCACGAGCCTTTAGGCGAGTACAATTAAAGAACTTTCAAAACATTACGAGTGTCTATTAATTCCAAATTGTACGAGAAGATCGTGCGATTTTTTGTTTATAGTTCACTCAACAAAATTTCAGTAAAAAATGCGAAGCGACGCCGTTCATCTTTGTCTATTTGGCGGCCGATTTCCAGTCCATCGTGCTACTGAAATGCATAAAAAAGATTGGTTCTTACGGCTTTAAAATTTTATTTATGCTTTTTAAGTACAAAATGATAGAAAATAATTGTTTTGACATTGTTTTGGCCGTGTTGCCATAGCGACTTAATTCGGTACTCCTACGGAGTACAATTAACGCTATAATTGTACTCCTCTCGACCAATCAGAGTCGAGTAATTTTGTTGAGTGTACTATAAAATATATAATTATCGATGAAATATATATCTTTCTCTATTACTAAAAAGCTATATCTTCACGTTGAAGACATTATATGATATCTTCAAATGTGAAAATAACACCATTGGTAAGATTCTTAGGATTTCATCGATAATGATATAATAAACAGAGTATTTGACATGGCCGCTTTACCTTCTCGTGTTGAGAATATCTTACTCGTTCGCTACGCTCAATCGTAAGATATCACCTCAGTACTCGAAGATAAAATCGTTAGAGCCTCTGTTTAACCAGCATGCTGTTCACAAGTTTTAGCAAAGTATGAGCACTATTTCCAGATTTTGAACACATTATTAGCACATTTTGGGCATTTTTAGGAATTTTAGTCATTTTCGCGTTTTCCCGTTCATCCATCCGTCCATCCATCAATTATTTTACGCTCGGTAACCTCGCCAGAAAATAGTCTGTTGAATCGAGCTGCTAATTAGTTTCCAATATGCACGAAAGTAAATCAGGAGCTCTGTTAGAATACCTTGCGAACTATTACGGCCATTTGACGGACTCGCGCGAAAATAAAATATAATGCGCTTGTCGTAAGAAATTTATTTTATTAGCTTAGATAAACATGGAAATAACAACCCAAAATATTATCATTAATCCATACCATTAATCGCAACCATCAATCCATCCATCCCGACCATCTATTCATCATAACTATCAATCCATCCATCCATCCCTAACATCTATCCATCATAACTATCAATCCATCCATCCATCCCTAACATCTATCCATCATAACTA